GTTCCTCGAGAATTAGACGTCATAGTTGATGACAGCGATAGTGAAACCAAATCTAATTAAGAATGGCATGTATACTCATACTCGAAACTGTAGACCGCACCTCATGAGTAACATGTGGCGATGGGTCTGTAGGAAATCGTTGGTGCGATTTCTGTCTGTGTTGGTACACAGAGCCCCTCATGTGTTGTAGCATATTTGGCGGCAGATATGTAGGGAATCGTTGGTGCGATTCTGGCATATGTGGCGGCAGATATGTAAAGAATCGTTGGTGCGATTCTGGCCTGTGTTGGTGCACAGAGCCCCTCATGTGTTGTGGCGTATGTGGCGGCAGATATGTGGAGAATCGTTGGTGCGATTCTGGCATATGTGACGGCAGATATGTAAAGAATCGTTGGTGCGATTCTGGTCTGTGCTGGTGCACAGATTTCAATGAAAGTTTCACGAGTTGAGTATTCATTGCTTATGAATTATGGTAAAGAGTAACAAAATTGTCAGAATTGCTGTGTTGGAACTTGTTGATCGGGCCTTTCACAATAAATCATGTAGTGCAGGAAGCACTGTGTAAGAAGCCCTAATAATAGGGCTTTGTCAATCATGGCAGTTGATTACTGTACTTAGATTTAGGAGAAATAAAGTACCATCTGGAATCAACCTCGTTTTCGTTGGCAGGATAGCCGAGCTAAGTTATTCTCTGAGCATATTTTGTCCACAGGCACTGCACCCGAGGACGGGTGCTAGTCAGGGATGGCCGTGTCGTGGATTGATGGCGCCATAGTGCTACAAGCAGCGCCATCTAACAATTAGCTTTGCGAATCAATAATATCGTTACCGGAAACGCAAGCGCGCCCTACCGCTTGGACACGATCGTCGGTAGAGGGGATGCAGCGAGGGCTAGAGAAGGGACCGAGTGTTGTGGCAGTTGAGTTCGGACAGCCGGAGCGGACGCTCGCTACCGACGCACGCGTTTGTTTCTCGTGTACAACCACTAGTCTAAATAAAGTTATTTTTGATTTAAATCATCTTTCGTTCGTGTGCCCACATTTACATAAAACCATGTCGGAGCGTGAAGAAAACACCTTTGACGCGACATGTATACTAAAAAACAACTTCTTTCAACTTTGCAGGTTGTTGTTTTACTTTAATGACAACGTGAATTTTATTTATTAAATTTTAAATTTTATATGGTAACTCTTGTTATTTAGTGGTAATCAAAAAGTTCAAACGAAAATTTTTATTATTAATTTTAAAATCTAAGTGAATATGTTTTAAACTTTAAACAAATCTTGGGGGAACCAGGAGTTATTAGAAAATTGGATGAAGAAGTTGTAAATCGTATAGCAGCTGGTGAAATAATCCAAAGGCCGACCAATGCTCTTAAGGAATTGATAGAAAATGGGTAAGACTGTATTTTAACAATAATATTTTTACAATTTAAGATTAAATAAACGATAGCAAGGTAGCACTAAATCAACATTTTTTAAAGTTATTTATGTACTGCTGTATAGTGTAGTGGTCAGCATGCTTGTTGTTTTGCTTATATGCTACAGGTTTTTATTCGAGGATATAAGTCGATATCTATGGCCCATCATTCTCCATTTACTATCAGCTGGACTGTGCTCATTTGTCACGCTTATTCTATAAAAAAAGTATTAATATAGTTCGTAAGGCATTCCATATTAATCTTCGATGATGACAATGTATCTGTATCTTTTTTTTTAAGTTGGTTGCAGTGAACCATGAACTTAATAACTATTAGTCATTTTACAACTTTTAGTACATTTTACAGTCGGTGAAATGTAAGCTCCATCTGGGTAGGCCACCCTCTTACCTATTTCTGTCGCAAAAAAAACCAAGTCGCCAAGTGCTTGCACTGCTATGTTTCGACCTGAACGGTATAGAGAGCGAAGTTTTAGCGGGAACTTGGTCGTCGACGAACTGTCGCTCCTGTTTTGTCGCTTGAATAATGGTTTGAAGTGGATTTTAATTTGTAAAAGTGAAGTGATTTTGTTAATTAAGTGTCCGCGCGTGTGAACTATTAGAGAAAACGACGAAACAAGTGTTTTGATGTTGATATAAACCTCAAGGTAATTTGATCGCTTGGGCGCCTTATGAACTTGAGTGGCTGTCGTTATCAACAGTCCGCTGGGTTGAGCTGTCAAAAGCTCTCAAAAAATTCGCAATGTTATGCATCATCATATTGTGAAGAAGAAATATATAAAATGAAAATTCTGAATAAAATTTTCTAATAAAATAAAAAAATCTAAATATGCAAGTTCAAATCTGAAGTGTAGTCAATATTTGTTGTTCATATGCACAAATGTTTATTAGACATGGTTTTGTTAGGATGAGTATTAAAGTAGTCTGTGTTTTCACTATGTTTGGACATACTTTTTTCACATGGTAGAGACATTTATCAATATGATAACTAGCTATTAGCTACTTTGGTTAAAACAGCTTCGATTATCTGACATAATAGAAAAAACTGAACTGGTTTTTTGAATAAAAAATCATGAGTGCCATTAGTTTAATTTAAATTTTCGTATTTTTAAATAGAGGAATAAGAAGGGAGGAAGAAAAATAAGGAATAAAGCCGTCCCGAAGACACGACGCGAACCATGGCACTTCGATTTCGCGACGGCCCGATATCCACTTGAGCTATTACGATCATTAAAATACAGCGTCAAAATTTACCTTCTTATATTGTAGCAGTTTTTCATTGCCTGAAAACACGGACAACACGACATTTTCTAAAAATGAATCCTAGATCCTAGATCGATTTATTGCCCCCGAAACCCCCGGACACGAAATAAATTTTATGAAAATTGTTGGAGCCGTTTCCAAGATTCCGATTATATATATATATATATATATATATATATATATATATATATATATATATATATATACAAGAATTGCTCGTTTAAGGATATATTATGTATTTCTTAAAACATAATTATTAATTGTAAATGTTATGATGTATAGCTAGAATGACAATCAAAGAAATATTTAAGTAAATAATCTCTCCTTAAATGCAAAAAATGTGCATTTTTCGTTTCATTGCTATTAATCTGTTTTCAATTTAACTACGGTTGTAGGAAAGTTTTATAAATTATCCGGTTTCCGAATATAATACTATAATAAACTGACAGAACTGATGCGAACTCCTACTTCGATTCGAATTAATTTGCATACTGTGCATAAATTACTTTTTATGGAAATTACATATAAACACTCACGCCTGTCACCCAGAGGGGTAGGGAGAGATTACAGACTTCCATTTGGCACGATCCTGACACACCTCTCTCGCCTCCTTCACATCCATACACCTACGCATACATGCTCGTCGGTTAAGGGTACTCCTTAAAAAAAATTACCTGACTTTGATTATATAACCAAAAATGTTTTATTTGTATTCCATACGTTACATATTTATAGGAAATTCTTACGAAGTTATACTATACCAATGTAAATTGTTTTTTGCTAAAGGAAATATTAAAAATATGCATGTCTAGTGTTGTCGAAATGCAAGAACAAGACAAGACTTAGCTATTCTTGGTCTTGGTCTTGCGCCAATACACCTGGTCTTGTTCTTGGTCTTGGTATTGCGCTCTCAGTCTTGTTCTTGGTCTTGGTCTTGTAGCAAGAGTCTCGCAAGTCTCGCAATTACCTATTAGCCTATTGTTATTTATTAAACGTTACTTTAGATCTTAGAACAACTTAACAAAGTAGGCACATTTTGAGCTTGAATTAACATAGCCATAGAAAGACCAACCAAATTAATAAATATCTAAACATTTAATGAGAAATTCGAAAAATCAACTAATACCGGGTGGGGTTTGAACCCACGACTTAAGCGATCCGTGCCGATGCTCTAACCAACTGAGCTCTCTACCAAGTCTCACGGCCACGGGAGTTAGTCTGTATCTTAATAAATGTTTACATTTAATAAGCTTACATGTGCTAAAATTTAATCAAAACATATAAAAATCTAATGACATTAACTTGACTGTATTATAAAGAACATTATCTGTCTAGAAAGAGATTGATAGACCCTTATATGAAATGGAATAATAAAAGACTTATACAATTAAACATTTATTTAAATAAAAAAATAAAATACAATACAAATTAAATTACATAACAGTACACAACAGCTTTGACATTACTGTTACATACATAAACACTCACGCCTGTCACCCAGAGGGGTAGGCAGAGACTACAGACTTCCATTTAGCACGATCCTGACATACCTTTCTCGCCTCTTCCACATCCATATACCTACGCATACATGCTCGTCGGTTAAGGGTACTCTTAATTTGGCCCATTTTTGGTATATCGCCAATTTGGTCGACAAACTTCTGCCTAGGACGTCCCTTTCCGATTCTTCCATTCACTTCTGCAACATATATTTACTTTGTCAGTCTTTCAGCATTCATTCTTTCTACATGACCAAACCACCGAAGCATTCCTTTCTTAATCCTGGTCACTGCATCATTTTACAAACCACACTCTTCTTTTATCACACAGTTTCTCACCCTATCACTCAGATTCAGCCCTTACTCCTTAGTGACCGAGTTTCTACTGCATTTATTCTACTCTCGTGCTTCTTCTGCCACACCCAACTGTCACTACCATACGTTAAAGTAGGGACTAATACAGCACTGTGAATTTCCATACGTGCCTTTTTTGACACATTCTGACTTTTCACAATAGAGTGTAGAGCCCCATTTACTTTATTTCCTGCATTCGCTCGTCGTTCAATATCATTATCATATCTCCCATCCCTGCTGAATACACATCCCAAATATAAGAACTCATCCACTTGCTCAATTAACTCTCCTTCTATTCTTATTTCACATACCGTTTTGCTTTCATCTCTTTCAAAAACCATCACTTTCGTCTTACTTGCGTTCACTTTCATTCCCCTTTCTTTTAGTGACCTGTTCATTAATGTAACCATCATTTGCAACTCGGCCGCCGACGACGCAAGTATGACTTGATCATCGGCGTACAAAAGGCATTTTGATGGTTAAATCACCCATTCTTAACCCGCATTCTTCAACTTTCAAATTTTCCAAACAGCTGTCCATAAATAGATTGAACAGCCACGGGGAAGCTACACAGCCCTGTCTGACACCTTTATGGATGCCAAACCAGTCCGAGTAGACCCCGTTGATTCTAACACAAGCACTCGAGTCCCTATACAGAGACTTTAATGCCTGTATCAAACCAGCGCTCAACATAAATACGTTCAGCGTTTGCCATAACATATCCCTGTCCACTCTGTCATAAGCCTTTTCCAATTCCATGAACGCACAAAAAACTTTTTGGTTTTTCGCTAAAAACTTCTCCGCTAACATTACTGTTACTTTATATTAATTCTTTTGACCAAGAATTAATACAAAGTAACCATCTGGCTGAGTCATCACTTAACCTATTTCTATGTTTTCTAATTACTAATGACGCTTTAGAAAATAATCTCTCAGCAGGTACTGAAGTTGCAGGTATTGAAAGAAAATCACGGGCCATCTTCGATAAAGTCGGATATTCTGTCTCATGCGTCCTCCAGCACTCTAAAATGTCTTCCAAACTGGCGGCTCAGGGTTTACTTAGGTACTCCCAACTCATTTATAAATAAGCCTTGATGAAAAGATCCAAATCCAGATGACTTCGAGGGACATACAATTTCTCAAAGTCTATTACGTCTTCATCTTCATCATATTCACATTCTTTCTTTTCATTTCTTGGTGATTCTAGAGATGTATTCACTGAGTGTAGACTTTTATATTCTTTATAAAGTTCATTCAATTTGCGCAGGCTTTCTGTTTTAATTTGCTTCCCCCATAATGTCACGTCAAAATTCTGAGTCTTATGCCTTGGGTCTAAAATTAAAGAGGTACAATATATCCAGTTGCTCTTTTTATAATGTTTAAGCTTTTTGTCTCGAGCTGCTTGAAAACCCAGAATGAGCCTTTCATCCACTTCGGATCGATTAGGTTTCTCATCTAATTGTTTTACTATGAATTCAATTTTATCGAGCAAGAGATTGAATGATACAATGACTAGCGGTAATGTAACATATTTTTCTCCACCAAGTTTCGTTGATAGAAGTTTAAAGTTTATTAGAAACTTATGTATTTTTTCGAGTATTTGCCATTCACTATCTGTGATTTTAAAATCATTCAATTCGGTGACAGAAGTGCACAATATGTTAATGCCAGTTCGCACTTTTAAACCAAATCCAATCATATCATGTGTGGAATTCCATCTCGTTGGACAGGCGTAATCTACCTATCCTTACCCTTATCTAATTACAATATTCCTTGCGAGATCAGCATAATGTATTCGTGTCCATTCTTAGCACCCGGAAACTTATTTTATTCTTTGGAACATGTACTCTATGGCGGAATTCAAACAGTGTCAAATGTAGTGCGTGCGGCGCGGCGGCGACGATTGAATTCGATATCAATAGAAGCCACCGGCGCGTGTATCTTGACCTTGTACTTCCGAATAGCTGCAAAATTCTTTGACAGGTCAGTATTCGGCCTTTGATGATGCCGACAACAAGACGCCGCGCACTATCAAAGTGCCGATGGTCAAAACTAGGGATGCGCTGTTTTTTCTCTTAATGGATATTTTCATCCGCTATTTATGTTTATGGTATTGTTCGTAATGCGCATAAGTCCAATTTTCCAAATTTTTTTAATATATTTTTTGCGTCTCATAGAGTCCCTAAGCGTATACCCGAACTCCTATACTCCCTGAAACGACACTCATTCCTAACTGCAAGATGCAAGAGTCTCGCAGGCTTAGTCTTCTTCTTGCTCAAATCTTGCACGGTCAGTCTTGGTCTTGGTATTGCAAAAATGCAAGAACAAGACTAAGACTGCAAGACCAAGACCGATTCTGGGCAACACTATGCATGTCTAATATTTTAAATATATCGATAATTGTATATATCTTACATCACCATCGCAATATTCAATTTAGTTAGCTGTAGATTTAATTTGTTTCGCTGATTTGGTGCTTAACTTTATTTTTTTTTATACCATTACTCCAATGGTAACGTTTGACAAAGAAATTTATTACTGCTTGATATATTTTTTATCAGTAGTATCATTTTAAGAATGTCACTATACGAAATCAATCCAAATCGTCAAGCAAAATAATCATTATTCATCATTACAGCCTTTCACATGTCCACTGTTGTATTAAGGCTTCCCCCAAAGTATTCCACGGTCTTGAGCCACCTGCAAACATCGAATTTCTGCATATCATACCAGGTCGTCTCTGCATCCAGTATACTTCGGTTACCGGTACGAGGGCGCCACTCGAGAACATTTCCTCCCCATCAGTTGTCGGTTTTTTGTGCTATATGGGCGGTCTATTGCCACTTCAACTAACGAATTCATTAAGCTATGCCGTTACTCCGGTTCTGCTGCGAGTATCCTCATTTCTAACCCTATCATGCAAACCCGGTCATCGGACTGCGGTCATCACTAGCAACACGCACTGTTTGTACAATCTTGTTTTCAAGTTTTGACGAGAAGATGTATCGTAGTCAACGGAACAGTGCCTAGTCTAGTTAAATCCGTCGATCTAAGCTGCGAGTAACTCCAAGTCTAACTTCGACCGAGTGTTCATCTCGGTCACTTACTAACAAACATACTAAATATTATATCTCCCAACTACTGCAAAATCATCTGGTCTCCGTCCAACGCTTCATCAATTTATATGCAACATAAGTTACATATTATTAAGACTCATATCATTGGAAGAAGATAAATTAATTCTTAATTCATTTTATATTTGTTTAGTATTTGTTTTACAGAGTTCATAAGAGCAATCTACGATTTAAAATCAAAAGAGTCGCTCTGACAAAAGTTTCTCAATAGACTTACGAAAATAATGTTTATAACATAAAATTAAAAGTAGTTCAAAAAATGATATTCATTATGTAAATAACAGGCACAAGCTAGTAGCACCAGTTATTTGACTCCACTGTTTACGAATACGCTTTTACAACATAATCTCAGAAAATTTACAAAATTTGACCTCCACTAAGTTCAAAGACTTTATTAAACAAAATTTATAGAAAAGGGTTACTATAATATAAAGGAGTTTATAGATGATAATAACCCCCAGGAATGTGTTGATCGCTACCAAGCTATTTTTAATTAGTTTTGTGTTGTTGATTGTGTAACGTATATTATGGTTGTCGGTTTTTTTTTTAAAGTCCCGCTGAGTTTCGCTGGTACTTCCAGGACAGAGCTTTTTCCGAAAAAAAATTTAAATAAGAAAAGAGTGTCTTTCAATAAGTATTAGTTATAAACCTTTATTGAATATAAAAGATTCTGTTTTCGTTTCTGCTAACGCACAATAAGGCGGTATAAGGATGGCTTTCCTGCTGCTTTAGCAAATTAAACCGCAGTCTCCTCTGCTAAATAAAATAAGACAAGCAAACTATTTCAGTCTTTGATTAATTACACGGATAGTACCATCGCGCAACCATTTTTTATTTGCAATTTCTTCTTCTTGGTTTTAAAAGCATATCTAAGGAGATGGCAAGTGGAACATGTTTTAGTTTTATTTTCCATCTTAAACATAATACGTGGTAGAGCCATGCTGCAGTTATTTTAGTAGTGTAGTTGTAACACGAATGGGTCGGCTCGACCGGGGAAGGACCATGCTCTCACAGAATACCAGCGTAAAATAGTAGCTTAATGCTGTTGTGTTTCGTATGGTGAGTGTAGAGAACCGGAGACCCTTTTTACTGGAAACGAGGCATTCCACCTAAGTCCTCACGGGTGACAACGCATCTGCATTTTGATTCGTAATCGAGGATAGATGTAGATGTCTGTGGGCGACAGCAACCACTTACCATCAGGTGGACTGTGTGCTCCTTTGTCACCCTATACTATAAAAAAAATAAAGGTTGAGTGCCATTCGCGTCAATTGTACATTTTAATCTGCCTGTTTTTGATTGGTTATTGACTTCCTAGTTAGTTTAGTGGTTGTACATGCCGCTGCTAGTCATGAAGACCCGAGTTAAAATCCCGGCATGGGCTAAAAAAATCAGGTATTGAATTTTCTCTTGAGAAATGCGTAGTAGCGGCCCGTAGTCAGGAAGAATTTATACGTGGTTGAGCCATGCTGAAGCTATATTATCGCTGTAGCACGATTGGGTCGACTCGACCGGGGACGGACCACACGCGCTGGGGGTAACGCGGGTTCGAATCCCGCACGGAACAAGTATTTGTACGTTCGTATATTCTCGTTTCGGGTCTGGATGTTTGTCCTTGTGCAATTTATGTTTGTAAACTGCCCCCACGATACAGGAGAAAATCCTAGTGTATGGGGTAATGTTTTTTAAAAACGGTAAAAACGGAATACTAGTGTAAAATACGAGCTTAACGCCGCTGTTTTTGTATGGTGAGTGTAGAGAACCGGGAGACCTTTTTCATTAGAAACGAGGCAATCCATCTTAGTCCTCACGGGTGATAACGTATCTGCATTTTGTTTCGTAATAGAGTATAGGTGCAGATGTCTACGGTCCACAGCAACCATTTATAATTAGGTGAACTGTGTGCTCGTACCCAATTGCTTACTTCATAAATTACCTTTACTAGGCAGTTTGTCCGCATACTTTTTTATACTTTATCAATCCAAAATATTTTAAATTGATAAAGTATAAAATTAGTTATAACATAATATCTTACCAAAACGTTAACCTTAACAAATATTCTTATTAAGGTTATCAGTAACATATCAGTGTATATTTTATTATTACTGATTCTGAATAAAACCACCTATACAGATTTTATCGGCTTTAATTAACTTATTTTTAATTCCCGACGTTTCGGGTGCTTTACAGCACCAATGGTCACGGAACTGTGATGTTTGATGTCTCAATGTCATAGTTAACCCGGCTACCTGCACATTTTGAAAACTAATTTTTGATGCGATCTACAAAGAACGAGCTTAATATTCGAAAACTGAAGGTTAAAAAGGCATAACAGAATGCGAGAGATTTCGGTACATAAATTGTCAATACACAAACTGAGCGTGGCATTTAGAGCAAATCTTATCCAGTAGTAAATAGCCTTTTTATAGGCTAACGTGAGAAAGATGAATATACTGTGTGATTATTTCTTTTTAGATATGGGAAGAAAAGAACGTTACATACAGGTTAGAAAGTTTGGAGTTTACAAATGGCTTTAATTAAACTTCGATTTCCTTTCACACACAGTGATAATGTTTGTACCTCCCGATATCACATCATCACATTTTAAATAAAATGACTAATAAACTGAACGACTCAGTTTATCATCATGATCATAATCATCACAGCCCTTTACAAGTCCACTTTACACACAAGCACAGTCCTCATCCAAATGCATCCATTGATTTTTTGAATCTCTAACCAAATCTTCACTCAGCCTAGGTGGAGGGGTTGTCTTTCTCTCCCTTCTTATCGCTTACCGTCCCGTCAATACCGTCAATCGCAATAAAAAAAGTATAATTTTTTAATAATTGGACATAGGCTCGCGTTTGACCACTATCTCGCCTGATGGTCAGCGATGATGCAGTGGACGATAGAGCACGCTTGCCTAGAAGTAACGTATTCATTCTTGACTTATATAATTCGAATAAGCAGTACAAACAATGAAAGTATTCCCAAATTTTTTGACTCCAAACTTTAGACTCGCTCAGAGATAAAGTAGCTACTTAAATGGTAAAAGATATTTTAGAAACGAATTTTTCCGCGGGAACGAAGTTGCTAGCGTGTCAGCTAGTATAATATAAGAATTTATAAAACATTGTATACGTATTTAAAAAAAAACTGTGGTAAATATGATATATAAACTATGAGGCAATCTATAGAGGAGCCCTTAGTTCTGAAGTAGGCATTTGAAAGACTAAAGAACAAATAAATTAACTAAGATCTACGGTCCCTTCCCTAAAAAATCCAACTTCTAAGTTAACGCATTCAAAAGATCGATCAAACGAGTATCACTTGTTTTTGTACTAACAAACTCTATCATCAAAACCTAAAGGGGGAATTATAAAATTGGCACGAAGCAAGGTCTCGACAGATCTTTCATTTGCGTAATAATAAAAAATATGTGTTTGCGATTTTACACTTGGCACTTTGGCAAATGGAGTATCGACCGTCATGTAGACCAATGTATGAGAGAACATTGTTTCTAAAGCAAAGTTAAGATTGCCTTTTAATTAGGCATGCCTAA